ATATATTTGTTACTATTGCTGGAACTCTTGTCTATTATAATTTCCAATTGTTTTAGGAAAGCTATTAATTTTTCAAGTTTATCTTGTCTTTCTTTAGCTCCTTTTCAAAGTTCTTCCTAAACATTTAAGTTTTTTTGTTTTTTTGTTTTGGCCAGGGCTGGGTTTGAATCTGCCACCTCCAGCATATGGGGCCGGCTTTTGAGCCACAGGCACCACCCCTAAACATCTAAGTTTTAATTGATTACTTTAGTTCTAATTCTTCCGTTCGAATTATTTTATGCCTCTCATTTCATGTCATATTGCAAAATTAAAACATCTTTAAATAACGAGGAAGACAGCAGTCATCTACATCCTATTATTGATTATAACAGAAATTACTCTGCTGTTCCATCACCAAAATATTATTGATTGGTTATTGATAAACATTCTTGGTCACGTTTAAAATATCATCCAGTCTTAACATTCTTACCTTTTTAGTTTTTAATAGAGTCATTGTGGGACTACCCAAAACATTTTACACCCAAGTATTAAAGCTGTTTGTATCATACCTTAAACCCTTCCCATGAAGTCTTCTCTGCTGATTTAAAATTATAATCCAAATAATGATATGAGTGTTCTGAATCTTTAGAAGAAAAACCTAAAATTGCTGTGAGAAAAAAAGCAAGAATCTTTTCAAAATAGTTTTTCAAATGTCAAGTAATTTTTTAATGTTATATTTTACTTACAATCATTTTCAAATGAGTCCTTATTAGGCCCATCTAACACTTGAAAATTGTCTTCAATATTGAAGCTAGTTCTTCCTTCTGTAAAGTTTTTATTGGTGAACTAGAAAACAGAGATCCACTTATCAGTTTATGTAGTAGAAAGAAAAAGTGTGTATGTATATATATCTATTTCTTTACCCACATGTGTATACATATATTCACATAGTTTATGGTTGTAGCGTGAAACACAGAAAAACAGAAAGAAATGTAAAGCCAATTCTATTCAGGGAAAGCAGACTATATTATGTTTCACTAATTCTTATGACTCACATTTTTTTACCTGTA